TCCCCGCCCCCTGCCACTGGCAGCCGGAGGCTCAAGGTGGCGCCTCCTCCGCCGGCTCCCAAGCCTTGCAAGACCGTGACTACGAGCGGAGCCAAAGCCGGTGGGGGCAAGGGCGTGGGTAGCCGCCTGTCAAGGCCCGAGAGCGAGGGCAAGCCCAGGGTCAAGGGGTCAAAGAGCAGCGCCGGGACTGGAGCTTCTGCCTCTGTCGCTGCCGCTGCCGCCTCCACCGCCGCCGGGGGAGGGGGTGCTGCAGCCGCGACCTCTGGTGGGGTCGGGGCTGGGGCCGGAGCCCGAGGAAAGTTGTCCCCCCGGAAAGGCAAGAGTAAGACCTTGGACAACAGTGACTTGCACCCAGGACCGCCTGCTGGCTCTCCTCCTCCGCTAACCATCCCGACAACCCCAACTCCAGCTGCTGCTGTCACCACTGCCTCCGCGCAGCCCCCCGGGCCTGCACCTCCAATCACTCTGGAGCCTCCAGCTCCAGGGCTGAAACGGGGCCGGGAGGGGGGGCGAGCATCCACTCGTGACCGCAAGATGCTCAAGTTTATCAGCGGCATCTTCACCAAGAGCACAGGGGGGCCTCCTGGCTCTGGGCCCCTTCCCGGACCCCAAGGCCTGTCATCTGGCAGCGGGTCCAGGGAGCTGCTGGGAGCAGAGCTCCGCGCCTCCCCTAGTGAGTGGGGTCAGGGCCTGAGAACAGGGAGGGAGGGCGCCTGGAATGCTCAGTTTGAGGCCAGGATGAGATGTGCAGGAGATTAGAGAAGCTTTTCTCGTGGGTGGGTGGAAGTACCAGGCTCACTCCTCTGCTAAGAGCTGGGGCAAAGAATAGGAGGTCCTGAAGAGGAGTGAGTAGCTACATTATGTGACAAGAGAGAGGACTGGATTTAGGAGGGACTCAGAGTCTCACAGCTTTCTGGGAAAATAATGCCCTTGGACAGAGCAAGTGTAGACATTGCTCCCAGGGAAGCCCCAGACCTCACTTGCAGCCTCAGCTGGATTCTGGAAGCGTGGCAACAGGGCTCTGCCTTGTCTAGAGGGACACTGAAGGTGAAGGGGATGAGGAGGCCTCAGTTTCCCCTGAGCACTTGGAGCAGGTGGCTGACAGTGACCTTGCAGGCAGCTCCTCGCCAGGGACAGGTCTTCCCCTGAGCTGAGAGCAGGCTAGTGATGTTTTCCATGCAGTGAAGGCGGATTGGGCGGAACGCGAGCGCGCGGGCCGGGAACGTGCCGAATATTTAAATGTGAAGTGAGAGGGGCGGATAGGAAGCCTCACTTCCCCCGCTGCCCAGCCCCTCCGCAGAGCGGTGTTGAAACCAGCCTGGGGCTGACCCCGGAGTGAGTCAGGGGGGCGGAACTGCTGCAAAGGCAATTCTTCCCCTGGGAGATTGGGAGGCGGTACCGGGAAGGTAGTGTTTTTTCCAGGGGGTGTCTTTATCTTTTTTTTTTTTTTTCCCCTGGAGGAGATAGGCGGGGGACTCTAGGTTCGGCTCGCACTCCCCGGAGGGGAGGCGGGTCCAGGAGCGGGGGCGGCCCCCGAGGTTTGGCTCGGGAGCGGGTGGGAGCAGATGGCTCCGGATCCCAGAGTTCCCGCCACAGCTGCGGCGCCCCGGGGACGTCCCGGCCAGTGTCAGGCGCGGGGGTGGGGCCCGGCGGGGGAAGGAGCATCCTTTCCCCCTAGTCCTGCGTCTTCTCTCGGCCAGGGGATGGAGCCCTTCCTCACGGGTCTTTCGGAGGGCATGTGGGGGAAGGGGGGGAGAGGGAGACATAGGAAAATCTGAACCCTGTCCCGTGGGCTGGGGCGAAGGAAGGGTCTGGGTCACCGGGCGTTGACCTTGAAAATGAAGGAGAACCCTGACCTCAGTTTCTCTCCTGTGAAATGGAGAGTGGGGAAGAGCCACTCTTCTCTGTCCAGCGCCTCCCGCCAGAATCTGCTTTGGGTATCAGTAGGGCTGGGAGGAATCCCTCTTCTATTCTTCCCGAGGGAAGACCCTGTCACTGTCAGAGCCCTGCTCTCCTGGTCTGGGACAGGGACCCACGTTAGGGATGTGCTTTAAGGGAGATGCCAACTGAAGTATTTTTGTCTTGCTGGCTCCGTTGCTTAGCAACGGCTGAGCGGCAGAAACAGCTGTGGGGAGCACGGCTGGGTTGGGAGGACGGGACCACTGAAATCTGTCCACCTCTCCAGTGCAGGCAGGGTGGGGGGTTTAGGGGAACCGCAGGGGGAGGGGGTGACTGAGGTTTGGTGGTCCTTCTGGGCCAGAAGCCTCCCGGCTTACTGCCCCCTCTCCCCTTACAGAGGCTGTGGTCAATAGCCAGGAGTGGACGCTGAGCCGCTCCATTCCTGAACTGCGCCTGGTAGGTAACCCGTTCCCCTTGTGTGGGGAAGGGTGACTGCCGCCCACTGCACTCCCGATCCTTCCCCTCTCTCCTCCCTCTTCCTTTTCCAGTTCCTCTAAGCATCTACCGGCCATAGCACTATTCTGAGTCTGGGTACATCTTTACTTTTGCTCCCCTAGTCCATCCTCCCACCTCCCCCCCTTTTCCCCTCTTTGTCCATGGTCCTCTTCCAGGCTTCTCCTTTCTGACACCTGCCCTTTGGTTCTTCATGTTCTATTGCCTAGAATTGGGCAAAACTTTGCAGCTAGCGCCTAGGTGTGTGGCACTCCTCCCCGGCATGCACGCACGCACACCGTCTGGTTTGTCTCCTAAACAACACTGCACACAAAAAAGCGGTGCTGAATCGCTGACACTATTCAGCTTGAGCTCTACTTTGAACCTGGATCATTTCTTACCACATCCGTACCCTGATTCTCCCAACTGCTCCCTCCTGCCTGCCTGCCATGCACCCTTGAGGACCCCTCCGTGGGTGACAACATTGCCAGTTCCTTTGGGGGGTCTAGAATGTCTGGATCCAAGTATCTTGCCTCCTCTTAATTCCCACAATCTCTGCTCCATAACTTTGCCCTCAGGGTGTGCTGGGTGATGCCAGGAGTGGGAAGTCATCGCTCATCCACCGATTCCTGACCGGGTCATACCAGGTGCTGGAGAAGACAGAGAGTGAGTTTTCAGGAGCCACAGCAAGCTAAGGACGGGTCAGGGATCCAGGGGTCAGATCAATGACCAGGCAGGTGTGGAGACCAGGGAGACGGATGAAGCCACAATAGCTAAAGTACAGGGAACAAGGAGATGTTTGGTGACCTGGCTCTTTGACCCCTTATCCCTTCCGACCCCTCTGGACAGGTGAACAGTACAAGAAAGAGATGTTGGTGGACGGGCAGACCCATCTGGTGCTGATCCGAGAGGAGGCTGGGGCACCTGATGCCAAGGTGAGGGGTGGAGGCGATGGAGCGGGTGGGCTAGCCAAGGAGAGAGCTCTGCTTTCCCAGGCCTCCCTCTGGGCAGTGGCCTGAGCGGAGGGACTGTCTGACCCTCCATTTGCTCCCTCACCCCCCGCAAGTTCTCAGGCTGGGCAGATGCTGTGATCTTCGTCTTCAGCCTGGAGGATGAGAACAGTTTCCAGGCTGTGAGCCGTCTCCATGGGCAGCTAAGCTCCCTTCGCGGGGAGGGACGAGGAGGCCTGGCCCTGGCACTGGTGGGGACACAAGGTAAGGAGGCATGGGGGAACCGCTTTGAGGGGAGGCCATGAGGAGGCTGCTGGGGTGTTGCCCATCACGGCTGAGAGCTTGGTACCATGCGGAAATGACCAGCTGGGCTCCAGTAACCTCGGGAGGGGCCTGGCCACTTCCTGTGGTCTGAGCAAAGAAAAGGGGACCTCCAGGGAGAGAAAGAGAGCCATAGTAGCCATCTCTGTCTCTGCCCTCTTCTGAGGTGCCACCTACCTTGAGTTCTTTTTTATTTTTTTAGAATTATTTTGTGTAACTTTATTTATTTAGTTATTTTAATCTGACCGGAGAGAGAGAGGGAGAGAGAGAGGGGAAAAAAAATGAAGGAAAAAGAGAAAGCAAGCCACCAGATCCAGGATTTGAACCACAGTCAACCATGTGGGAGTCTAGCATCCTTAACCACCACGCCACCTGCCATTTCCTAATGCCATGAGACACACAGAAAAATCTCACATCCTAGTGTGGCTAGAAAGCCTATTCAGTCTTCCCCTTGCTGCAGCTGACCGAAGCTGACTTCTTCTAAAGAAACGTATCGAAATCAAAGAGAAATGACAGAGAACACAAGAGGGCAGAAAACCTTCCAGTTCTCAAAGTTGTGCCTCAGCGGCTCTGACTCCCCCACTCCCACCCCCACTCCCGGGCCAGGAAAGCTTTTCCAGCAGCCATCTGTGTCGAGCTGGCAGGACTTTCTGTCTGGGTGCCTGTCCTGCAGGTGCCTGTCCTACAGGTGTCTGCCTCCACCTGTTGCTTGCCTCCTGCTTTCTCACTGCAGAGTGAGCAAGCCACCTGTTACCCATAGATATCCAACTGTCCCTTCTTTACATGCTGGTGTCCTGGCTCTCAGGGTTCATTGAATTTGCAGGGCAGGGTGATTATCTCCTGAGTCTCAGCCATTTCAGACCTTGTCAGAAAGCTCTGCTCACTTCTGGAGTAGTCTTTGAACACACATGCATGCATGCACATGCATGCACACACACGCATACACACACACACACATAGAACTCACCTAATTTACTCATATGCAGTTGGCATGTGCTGGGCCTAGCACCCAGAGAGGGATCATACGCTCCCATTGCACTGGGTCACAGGAGGGATGTTCTCTCATGCCCTGTCTTTGGTGGGCCCATCCTGAGCCCACAGAGTGAAGAAAGGCCCTCGTCCAAGCCTAATCCTTTTCCTGTTCCCTCAGATAGGATCAGTGCTTCCTCCCCTCGTGTGGTGGGTGACGCTCGTGCCAGGGCTCTGTGTGCAGACATGAAACGCTGCAGCTACTACGAGACTTGCGCGACCTATGGGCTCAATGTGGACCGGGTCTTCCAGGAGGGTGAGTGTGTGAGCCCCGTTGCATGTGGGCAGGAGGGTACGGGGCCTGGGCTATCCTCGGAAGTCGGGCATTCAGGACTCTCTTTTAGTGTCAGGAAATCAGTTTCTGTGAGAGGGAGGAGAGATTGGGGATGGGGTAGAGAAGGTTTCCTTAATAGTCACGAGGCCTTTTGGGGCTAGAAAAGCTGGTAAGGCCACAGGTGGCATGGAGGCCACAGTAACAAGGAAATGAGGGAGCTATGTTATTTCCTGGGGATTTCTCAGAGCAGGGCAGGGAAGGATGGTCTTGGGTATCTGTCCTGCTCACACCTCTTTCCCACTCTTCTCAGTGGCCCAGAAGGTAGTGACCTTGCGCAAACAGCAACAGCTGCTGGCTGCCTGCAAGTCTCTGCCCAGCTCCCCAAGCCATTCAGCTGCTTCTACCCCTGTAGCTGGACAGGTGAGTTGGGGATTCGGAGTCCAGAGAGGCTCTGATAAGATTCTAGGAATCCAAGGACAGGTACGGAGTATCCAGGGAGGCTGAGGTAGCAGTAGAACAGGTGGAAGTGGGTGACATGATTTGTAGAACATGCAAGGACTGGAAATCAGTCAGGTTTGAGCACTGTTTACCATGTGTTTGAGCAAGTTACCTAACCTCCCAACATCGCCTGGAAGATTGTGAAGTCAACCTTCACAAAATTTATTTATTTATTTATTTGGAGAGATTTTTGCCATACAGTGCACGAGTTTGCCAGAGAGACAGAGGCCGAGAGACAGAAAGTAAGAAATCACCCCCCAAGGAGGATGGTCATCCCACAATTCCTTCTCCTCTGTTCTCTTCTCGGGATTTGGGGCATACACACATCCGGTGTGAGTTTTAAACTGCCGGATCCAGGATGCAAATCATGGTCAACTAAGTGGGACTCCAGCAACGTAACCATTATGCTCTCTGCTGGTCCCAACCTTCACACAATTTAAAGCACTGTAACAATGCCACTGGGATGTTTGTTACTAGCGATAATGTAAATAAATGGCAATGTGATGAAGGGAGCATGTTCCCTGTAACAGATCTAACTGTAGCTGGCTGGGGTGTTGGCATCTCAGCTCTGCTCACTGCTCTATGTGCCCCCAGGCTAGTAATGGGGGCCACACCAGCGACTACTCATCTTCTCTCCCATCCTCACCCAATGTTGGTCACCGGGAGCTCCGGGCTGAGGCAGTCACGGTGGCTGGATTGAGCACGCCAGGGTCCCTACACCGGGCAGCCAAGCGCAGGACCAGCCTTTTTGCGGTACTGGACATATGACCCCTCTTGTCCCTTTACCTGCCACCCTCCCTAGCCCCTAGACCTCTGTTGAACCCTTCCTCTGTCTTCTCTGCCCTCTCACCCATGTATTCCTTTATCCATCCTCTAACTCAATGGTCCCCAAACTTTTAAGCACCAGGGACTGGTTTTGTGGAAGACACTTTTTTCATAGACCCAAGTGGGGATGGGGGAATGGTTTCCATATGATTCAAGTGCATTATATTTATTGTGGACTTTATCTCTATTATTTTATTTATTTATTTATTATTTGGAGAGATTTTTGCTATAGGGCGCATGCACTCACCGGAGAGAGAGAGAGAGACACAGAGAGACAGAAAGTGAGAAATCAGCCCCCCGGGGTGATGGCCATGCCACAATCCCTTCTCCTCCAGTCTCCTCTCGAGATTTTGGGCACGCACGCACATGCACTCAGTGTGAGTTTTGAGTCTCTGGTCTGGGACTTGAACCTCAGTTGGCCCTCTGAGAGTCCAGTAACGTAACCATGATGCAATCTGCTGGTCCCTATCTCTATTATTCTTACATTGTAATATATAATGAAAAATTACACAACTCGCCATAATGCAGTATCCAGGGGTCGCATCACGGCCTCAGCTCCACCTCAGAAAATCAGGCATTAGGATCTCACAGTGTGTGGAGCGTAGATCCCTCACATGTGCAGTTCTCGACAGAGCTCAGGAGCCTGTGAGAATCCGTGAGATCTAATGCCACAGCCGATCTCACAGGAGGCGGGGCTCAGGCAGTAATGTGAGCCGCGGGTAACAGCTGTAAGTGCAGATGCTTGTGGACGCTCACCTTCTGCTGCGTGACCTGGTTCCTAACAGGCCATGGGCCATATCAGGGTTGAGCAAATGGGGGTTGGGAACTCCTGCTCTAACGGATTCTAATAACTGTTCCAGAACCGTCGAGGTAGTGACTCTGAGAAGCGGAGTTTGGACAGTCGGGGAGAGACGACAGGGAGTGGGCGAGCCATCCCCATCAAACAGGTGAGTGGGCCTGGGGCTGGGGCCCTGGGCTGGCAGCTGCCCTAGCTGGCTTTTCCCTCACCTGTGCCTTTCCACACTCCAGAGCTTCCTCCTAAAGCGAAGTGGCAATTCCTTGAACAAAGAATGGAAGAAGAAATATGTGACTCTGTCAAGTAATGGCTTCCTACTCTACCACCCCAGCATTAATGTGAGTGGCAGAGATGGCCACACTGGCCAGCTGTGGTTGCCCTTCCAGCTCCCCCAGTCTGGGTCTCTAACCAGCGCTAACATCATTCTGGGAAGCACTAGTCCTGCTCCTGAGTTGGGCGAGCATGAGTTAAGAGCCGACCTTGTGCCCATGCTGGGGTAGAGAAATCAATGCCCCTCCTCAGGAACTTGCTGGACAGTGTGAGAGCACAGGAAGGGCCTCTGCTTGACCTGACATTCAGGAAGTGCATTCTGGCATTTTAGGATGCCTCTCCTTAGCTGCCCCTCTCTAGGGGTCCCCCTTGAGCATTCCAGGGTAGGTGGGCGGGTGAGTGGTTTAGAGTCAGACTTGGAGGCTGAGTGTGAAACCAGATCCTAGAAGCTCACGCCAACCTAGTCAGCTCCCAGCGCCCCCCTCCAGTCCTCTGTCCCATACTACAGACTGCTTCCTAGCATCACCAAGGACCCCAACCTTCCCTACGCTCTCCACCCATGTGCCCCTCCAGGATTACATCCACAGCACCCACGGCAAGGAGATGGACTTGCTCCGCACAACAGTCAAAGTCCCAGGCAAGCGGCCCCCACGGGCCATCTCTGCCTTTGGGCCCTCAGCCAGCATCAACGGGCTGGTCAAAGACATGAGCACTGTCCAGATGGGTGAGGGTCCTGGTGAGTGCGCGCATGACAAAGGGGCAGGAGAGGGGCCAGAGCTGGGGAAAGGGGCTAGAGAGAAGTGGGGGCTGGCATCAGATAAGTGGGAAGGTGGGTAATAAGGAGGGACCACAGAAAGAATGGGGCCCAGACACAGAGAGGTTCACTGAGGGTTCATCTTCTCCCCCTTCTCAGAAGCCACTACTCCCATGCCAAGCCCCAGCCCCAGCCCCAGCTCCCTACAGCCACCACCAGAGCAGACGTCCAAGCACCTGCTGAAGCCAGACCGGAATCTGGCCCGAGCCCTCAGCACTGGTCAGTAAGGACCACCCTTCTACTGTCTTTCAGATCTGAATGGGAGGGGGATGTGGGTGGGAAGCGGAATTGGGGGGGGGGTAGGCTTAGAGACTGGACTAAGCATGAGTGAACACAGGGAGCATCCGTCTCTTGGGTGCCAGGAGGCAGTGTCTGAAGGAATAGTTAAGACAAGAGGGGCTCCAGAGCCAAACTGCCTGAGCGCGAATCCTGGCTGGCCACGTGGGCAAGTTACCTGACCTCTCCATGTCTCAGTTTCCTCATCTGTAAAATGGAGATAGTAGTTCCGACCTCAGAGGGCTGCTCTGGGTTTAAACAAAATGAGAATATTGTCAAACACGGCCATCAGTATTTATTATGTTTAGGAAAACATATTTACTTTTAAAAAATAGCAAGTAACCTTGTAACAAGTGATCCTTACAGCAACTTTGTCAGGTCAAGATTATGATCCCCATTTTAGGGATGAAGAAACTGAGGCTCAGAAGATTAAGTGACTGGCTCAAGGTCTCAAGGCCAGTAAGTGGCAGAGCCAGGACCTGAGTGCAGGTCTGACTCTAAACCACTCATCTGCCCACCACCCCGGGAATGGTCCAGGGGGACCTCCTGGAGAGGGGCAGCTGAGGACGGGCACCCTAAAATGCCAGTGTTAGTTCTGGGGAGGAGACAGGCTATAGAGAAATTAGGAAATCTGTGGAGGAGCAACTGAGGCAGCTGTGTCCCCCTCCCCAAGATTGTACCCCATCTGGAGACCTGAGCCCCCTGAGTCGGGAACCCCCTCCTTCTCCCATGGTGAAGAAGCAAAGGAGGAAAAAGTTGACGACACCATCCAAGACTGAAGGCTCGGCTGGGCAGGCTGAAGGTGAGGCTCTGGGGGGCAGTTCTACCCTCACCCAGAACCCTCGCCCTGACACCAGATCCCTGGCCCAGCTCCTGCAGCAGGAGGAAAAGTGCTGAGCTGAGTGCCTGACCATCATTACCACTGCTAATAGCTGAGTGAGAAAATGGCCCTGTCCTTCTGTTCCCCAGCCAATGCTTCTGTCCCCAGTAGTCTCCACCCCATAGGTTTGTAGCTCCTACTACCTCTTCTAATGACCCACTAGTTCCTGTTTCTGCCCTCAATTCCACCACCACCCCAGCTCCTGCACCCAGAAGCCGTCCCGGGCCCCAGTGACTCAGCTCTGGATCTCAGTGTCCCCCACTGATCCCCCGACTCCTGGACTCAGTGACCACCAGCCCCTGCTCCCAATGACCTTCAGTGATTGTGAAGTTCCCTCAACAGCCTTGATCACAGGGATCCCATTCCTGTCCCCCAGTGTCCCCAGTGTTCTTCCATTCAGGCCCTGGTAACTCCTCCTGACCCCAGGCCCTCTCATCCCAACCCTGGGGCCCAGCTTCTGTTCCTTTCCCCCATGTTCACGCAGACCCTGACCCTTCTCCCTGCCCCCAGAGACCTGGCTCCTCACTGGTTGTGACAACCCGTCCCCACTGCCCCTGCTCTCTGCCGGGTGCTGAGACCCGGGTTCCAGATCTGCCTACTCTCATGGCTCTTGGCTTCCGCTCCACTCTGCTCCGGGGCCACTGACTTTAGTTCTGCTTTCTCTCCCCATCTGTCTGTCCTGCTTTGTCTCTGGCACTCTGTCACGATCTCTCTCCATCTCTCCATCTGCCTCTGTTCCTTCTTTCTCGGTCTCTCTTTCTCTGTTCTGCTCTCCATTCTGTCTATCTCCTTCGCTTCGGGAAACCAGCCAAGCGCAAAATGTGGAAACTAAAATCCTTTGGTAGTTTAAGAAATATTTATAAAGCAGGTAACAAGCGGGGAGCCGGGAGGGATGCTCAGCTGGGGTGCAGAGGGGTGGGGGGGTGTCCCTGCCTTCCCCTGCATGCGCTCGGGCTTCCTGCTCTCCCCCACCCTCTGCTTCCCCTACCCTCACTGCCCCACTCCCAGGGGCTCGGGATGGACATCAGGGAGGAAGGGTTTGGAGATGGCAGCCCCGGCGGGAACTCTGTCCCTCATGACCTCTCCCATCCCCCACCCAGAGGAAAACTTCGAGTTCCTGATTGTGTCCAGTACCGGTCAGACGTGGCACTTTGAGGCCGCCAGTTTTGAGGAGCGGGATGCCTGGGTGCAGGCCATCGAGAGCCAGATCCTGGCCAGTCTGCAGTGCTGTGAGAGCAGCAAGGTCAAGGTAGTGGTTTGGGGTGGGTGGGGTGGGAGGAGCAGCCAGCCTGAGGAGACGAGAGGGGCTGTGAGGGAGAGGCAGTGCTAAGCCCAACCCTTACCGCAGCTGCGCACGGACAGCCAAAGCGAAGCGGTGGCCATCCAAGCGATCCGGAATGCCAAAGGGAACTCTGCCTGTGTGGACTGCGGAGCCCCCAGTGAGTGCCAGGGGGCAGCGGAGCAGCCTGGGAGGTGCTCTGGCGGGCTAGGGGTATCCACGCCGCCCACTGGAGCCAACTCTGCACCCTGTCCCCCAGATCCCACGTGGGCCAGCTTGAACCTGGGCGCCCTCATCTGCATAGAGTGTTCTGGCATCCACCGGAACCTGGGCACACACCTGTCCCGAGTTCGGTCGCTGGACTTGGACGACTGGCCTCGGGAGCTGACCCTGGTGCTGACGGCCATTGGCAACGATACAGCCAACAGCGTGTGGGAGAGCGACACGCGGGGCCGTGCCAAGCCCACGCGGGACTCTTCGCGGTAAGTGTGAGCGTGTTCGGCTCCTGAGAGGGTCCCCTGGGGAGGGAGCAGAGGTCCCGCTGACTCCTGGTCTTGCAGGGAAGAGCGCGAGTCGTGGATTCGCGCCAAGTACGAGCAGCTGCTGTTCCTGGCGCCGCTGGGCACTACCGAGGAGCCGCTGGGCCGCCAGCTGTGGGCTGCCGTGCAGGCCCAGGACGTGGCCGCGGTTCTCCTCCTCCTGGCTCATGCGCGACACGGACCGCTCGACACCAGCGTAGAGGACCCACAGCTCCGCTCCCCACTTCACCTGGCGGCCGAGCTCGCCCACGTGGTCATCACGCAGCTGCTGTTGTGGGTACGTGAGCTGGGGGTAGGCAGAGGGGGCTTTGAAGTTTCCATCATTGAAAGCGCCGGGTGCCCGTCATTCCCAGAGGGAGCCTGGAAACGGAGTTGGAAAGCTTGGGACACGTCGTGCGGGTAGGGGGCGGGCGGGGGGCGCGTGGTCACGCGGCCGTTTCCGCCCTCCAGAACGGCGCGGAGGGTGGCAGCGCGGCCACCACGCCCAGCGCGGCCACCACCCCCAGCATTACCGCCACGCCCAGCCCCCGCCGCCGGAGCAGCGCCGCCAGCGTGGGCCGCGCCGACGCCCCCGTCGCGCTGGTATAGTTGCCCAGCGGGAGAGACACCCCCACCCCCACGCGGGCCGGGCACGACCACACCGGGTGGACCGCTGGACTGATGCACCCACTCACCTCTCAATACGCACCCCGCCCCACGGGAGCACTTCCTACCCCCACGAGGGCACAGTCCCCACGCCTCCCAGAAGACACAAACTCACCTCCCTCTCCCCAACGAGGCATGGAGACCCCAGCTCAACACGCCCCCTCTCCTCTGTTTCCACGCTCGGATTGCTCGGGGTCTGCCCGCTCGGTGTTTGCAGCTCGGCACTGCCCCGCCGCGGTTGCTGCCCCTGGGCGCTTGGATTTGCCGGCTCGCGCCCCCTAGGGGCGGGAAAGAGACCCAGCCCTGCCTGCACTCAGTCCCGCGGCGGGAGCCTAAACCCAGGCTGGCTCCTGGGGCAACGCCACGCCAGAGGGAGGGGTTAGTACGAGAGAGGGCTAGCCCTAGGATTTGGGGCCAATACCGGGACCCCACCCCTTCCTTGCTGATCTCACTGCCCAGTGAAGGGGAAAAGGGCAGCGAGGGGCAGGACCCCTGCTGTCCATGGGGAAGAGGGGTCCCCAACCCTTTCCGTGAAAGGGACCATGAGGAATGGAAATCAGGATGTCCCCCCCACACACCTACCCATGGATGGAAGCTGAAAGACCACAGAGAGGGTGGAGAGCCTGGGTCCCCCTCCACACTATCTTGGGAAAGAGAAAGGATGGAGTAGGAGCGGGCCAAGGGGACTGGGAGGGGCCTTGTAATTTATTGCTTTGTTCCCCAACTTGGGGGTGGGGGCGGGCAGGGGCGTGGGGAGGGCGTTTCGGGATAGGGGAAGCCCAGGGGTGCAGCGCCCGTGGTGATCTGGGGTAGGGGGCACCCCCACAGTGGGACCCCTCCCCCATTACTCTTCCTGTCCAGCCCCTCCCTCCCACTGGAGCAGCTCCAGTCCTATCCCTCGACCTCTTAGCCCAGGTTGACAGAATGTGAGGTGTCTGGGTTTCCAGGCCCCCTGCCCCATCCCCCAGAAAGGGCATGGTGGGGTGGACCTTACCTGGCCCTGCCCTGTCTCCCTCAATCAACCCAGCCCTTGGGCTGTCTGTGTCAGTGGTTTCCGGTCTTTTTTTTTTTAATTATTTTTTTTTTCCTGGCTAAAATATTTTGCAAAGGACCAGCTAATTGGGGAAGGGCGTGGGGTGGGGGAAGTGGGGAATGCTCTCCTCATCTCCTCCGAGGCAGGTGGTGTGATTCTTCTCCAACAGCAATTAAAGAGGAAGTGATTTTGTCTAGGAGGTGAGCTACTGGTCTGTTCTTGAAGAGGGAGGTCAGGGTGGGGAACTGGGGAGGGAGAGGGCCAGGCAAGGGTACCTCGCTGGGGCTGGGCTGGTACTGCCCACCTCGCATGGGCCAGTACCCGTGGGAGTGCAGGTGGCTCCCTGTGTGCAGCAGCTCTGTGTTCCTGCAGTGGGAGGAGCTGGGCAGGGCTGGAGCAATAGCGAGGACGCGAGGACGGGAGCAGAGAAGCCGCTGACTGTCACAGTAATGCCGGTTCTGGGAGAGCAGGCTGTGGTGCTTAGAGGAGACAACAGAGGATGGAGACGGGTGGGAGGACCGGGTGACTTTGGTTATGAACAAGAACTCTGCAGACAGACCTGATTGTGAAACCTGGTCCTCCACTTCACTCATAGCTGGATGACTTTGGTGGGCAACCTGGCAGTTGGCCTCAGTGGCATCTATTTTTAATCGGAACAGTATGTTCAGAGGGCACCTGGTAAGTGCTCTAGCCCTGGGAGGGCTGCCCTGGGCCTGCCTGCTCACTTTGAGCATCAGGTACCAGAGGAGAATTTATAATAAGGGTTTCTCTCCTAACCCCAGTCAGGTGGTGCTTGGGAGAAAGGGGTGGAAGATAGCCTGGGAAAGATTTCTTGGCTGGCCGCAGAGCCCCTGATGTCATTTGCCCACCTCTGTGTCATCCATGGGACCGCCAAGACCACAGCAGCCCGAGGCCAGCATCACTTCCACAAGCTGCAGAGCCACTCAGCTCAGCACACAGCCAGTCTCACTCCTCATGTGCAGTGGACAGCATCTGCCTGGCAGAGTGGCTGGGCACAGCCACCACATGTCATCCACTTTGAGGAATCAGTTGGTGGCCCCAACATTTTTGGGTAGGGTTGGTCCCTACCTGTGCAGCGCCAGGACATTCAGTGTGCCACTGAGCTGACAGGCTCGGTGAGGCCCTGCCCCAGGCCCAGGCCCCATTCACACAGAGGCTGCTGCTCTGCAAGGTCTTAGGCTGGGCAACTCCTCGGTACAGTGGGTGGCCTACAGGAAGGTGGGTTCAGGGGTGCAGGCGCAGTGAAGTGTGTGGTCTGGGCAGAGTGAGAACTGGAGATCCGGGTGGTTCCCCTCTTCAGCTCAGACACCCTGGGCTTCATCTCCACTTTCCTTCCTCAGGAGCTGAGGAGTGAGAGAGTATGGGGAGGAAGCAAAGCCCTGGAGAGAGGGAAAATGTCTGCAAAGGGAACCACGGGCCAGTAGGATGGCTTTCATTTTCAGCCATCATAAAATGGCCAGGTGTCAGCAAATCTTACAGCAAATTCCAATGCCAAATAATCCTCTTGATTCTTTTTTAACGGGCTGCATCTCAGGTTGTGTGGGGAGAGTATAGGGTGGCAGTGCGTAGGGTGACAAAACCTCAAGCCCTCCAGGTTATGGTAGAAAGGGACTCTGGGAACTCCCTGGATGGCTCCCAAGCTGCACCTTCACAGCTTGCCCTGGGGCCCCATGCTCTGGTTGTTCTGCCACCCCTCCTGGTGGCCACCTGCCATACACCCTGCTCCTCACTGTTTACCTAGCACAGCTGGGGCAGGCTGACCTCCATGGGAGTTTGGTCTTGAGCCAAAGGAAAAAAAAATTCTTGAAAGTGCAAAATAATTAATTATAGTGAAGTTTCCAGAACTGTTTTCTGGAGCTAAGGTTCCATCCCCATCAAATCAAAGATAACTTTCTTATCCCAGCCTTTCAGTTGTCCTATTCTAAACAATTCTACTATAACTTCTCATCAGCCTTTGGGATTCTTTCTAAGAGTCTTGTCTCTGAGTAACCTTGTCTCTCTAGAACTCAGGAGCTGGCTAATAATAATAATGAGACGTCCCTGTCAGCCCTCACAACTGTCCTCCCAGGTCTGCACTATGAGCCACAGCTTACCAGTGGGTAGACAGCATTGAAGAGCTACATACTGTTTAAGGCCCCACTGATGGTAGATGGAAGGTGAGGATTTGAACCCAGAACTCTAACTACAATTGCCCTCAAGGCAGTGTCTTAAGCTCTGGCCCAGCTGAAGCATCCCTCCTCTCAAAATACACACATGATCTGGGGAAGCAGGCTTTTACAAGCCTGCCCATTTACATTTCAAAATAAAGAAATTTACGCCTCATACACAGTGATCACTTGTCTGCAAGAAGAGGGTGGATCTCACACAACTTCCTTCAGCAGCAACTGAATCCCTCACATTCCGCCTTCAGAGACCGGGAATGACTGAATCCCTCACATTCCCTCACATTCCGCCTTCAGAGACCGGGAATTCATGCTCGCTAGCCCTTTCTGTTTTTTCAGATTTTTGCTACAGGGCGGGTATGCTTGCCAGCAGACAGAGAGAGAGAGAAGGAAAATGAGAAATCACCCCCCCCCCAGGGGGGAGGGCATGCCCCAATCCCATTCTCCTTTTGAGATTTTGGGTGCACACACATGTCCGGCATGATTTTCAAACCGCTGGATCCAGGACTCCAACCATGGAATCAGCCAGGTGAGATCTGGTGCCTTAACCACCAAGCCTCCTGCTGGCCCTCTAGCCTTTTCTTACCCTGTGAGCAGGTGCAGCCCCCTCAGCTGTAAGAGACACACACCTCAGAGATGTTGGGGCAGGCAGAGGAGGGAGGCTGCACTCAGCTTTGCCTTTTGAGTCCCCTGCACTAGGAGAGCGGGGCAGTGGGGTCCCACAGCTGCACTTGGCAGTGAGGGAGAAGTGGAGAGACCATGCCCACCTACCCTTGGCATGAGAAGCTGCCAAGTATGGGCAGCAGCCCTGTCTCTGGACATGGCCAAAGGTGGTCATCTCTAGGGAACTGAAGTGGGCCTGGGCTGCGGGTGGCAAATGAAATCTGCAACATGCTGGGGGAAGTGTTCAGCAGAAGGGAGACCCCGTGGGGGTGGGGAAACTGCTGTGGGGTGCACTTGGCTTTAGAGTATAAAGGGGGAGAGGATAAGGAAGGAATTGGTGCTAAGGGGAAGGGACAGAAACACGTGGATGAGGAGGGGGAAGGGTGATAGTACCCCGCGTTTCTCAGTCCTCACCAGGCCAGGGGTCTTTATCTTGTCATCCTACTCTCTTCCTGAAGACCCCAGCCCCCAGTGACACCCCCTGGGAGTGCGGAACAAAGAGCAGCATCAGAGAATGTGCCCTGCACCCTGAAAAGAACCCAAGCCTCCTTCCTACTTGAGTGTCTATCCCCCCAAAAGGGCTGATTGATTGACGGTCCAGTTTTTTATTTAGAAACCTGATTGTTTCAGAACATGGTGGGGGTTCTGTACCCACCCTTTCCACTGGGACTGTGTTAGAGGTGATGGGCAATGTTCTTCTTTTCCTCAGCAACAAAGGGGAAGCTCCTGCTCACAGATTCGGGGACAGTGTGGACAGGGGAAAGCAGGAAACCCCAAGATTCCAAGGGAAGGGGTAAAGTGGCCCAAACAACAATAAGGGTGTGTAGGGGGGTCTGCTTTCTTAGGCCTGCTAAACTGCCCTACTCTTCATGGGCTCCCGACCCTACTCCACTGTTCACATCTCTAGGGAGGGGGGAGGGAGGCGGGAGGACCCACAAGCTAGGGGATGCTCTCGGGGAAAGCCAGGGACCTAGGGGAGCGGGGGAGAGATCTCCCAGGACTGCTGAGGTGGGAGGGCGGCAGCACTCGCTCACAGCCCTCCACCCCAGGGCTGGGGCCACCGAGTCCACAGCTCAGCTCGACCCTGCTGTTGCCTTCAGGGGCCCCTGGGCTGCAGAGGTGGGGAGGAGCATGTCAGCACGTCAACTGCAGAAGACTCTGGACTCCTTGGAGGGCCAATGGCAGTGGTGGTCTCAGAAGTCAAACTCGTCCAGGTCCCCTGTGCCCTCACCGCCCTGAGAGCCCCACACTCGCCGATAATTGCTCTCCAGCTCTTTCTGCCGTTGGCGCTCCTTCTGGGCTTCTTCAGCTCCCTGCACCTGGTGGGAGAGGGGTGAGCAGGGGGGTCCCTGAGTGCCTGAGGCTCCAGGGAGATAGGGATAGAGGATACACCTCTTACGGTGCCCCTCCGAGCAGCAGCATACTGGGTCACCCGCTCTGTGACCGGCCCTGTGGCTCTCCACCCATTCTCCACACCACAGTGTGCCAGGAAGGGGGAGGGCTGAAGGTCTTGCCTCTCACCAAGATATTAAAAAATATCTCCTTGAGGTTTTTCGTGTCCTCATCAGTCAGCCAACGTGCATCCTCTTCTGCCCCTTCAGCCCCTGGTCTGACAATCTTGATCTCAATTTTCCCTGGAAAGGAGTGGTAACAGGCAGGCAATGAGAGGAGAGGGGGGCTGGAGCCTCAGGGCAGGTCTGCTGTCCCCCCAGTCCCCAGCCGAGGCTTCCAGTCCACCGTGCCCAGCCCCTCCACTTCAGTGGGCAAGCCCTTTCCAGAGCTGGTACTCCAGCCCGCCCCAGGGCCCACCTTCGGCTGTGAGTCCCTCCCTCTCCAGCAGTTCCTTCACCAGCCCCTCGATTTGTCTCAGCTGTGGGTTTTCCCGTTTCATCTCGAGGACAGTCAGATCCTGATTGGGGCCTCCGTGACGGAGCTTGGTGACCCGGACCCGGACTCTGTGCTCAGGATCCTCCTCTTAGAGGGGGAGACACACAGGGGGACACAAAGCAGAGCTGTGACTCCAGGGTGAGCGGCTGTGGTGGTCACCTCTCCCTAAGCCAGCAGTGGGGTTTGGCAGCTGGGCCTTTGCACATCTACGTGAGCCTGGGCTTCCACAGGGCAGGTGCCCCCAGCAGTTCCAGCCTGCAGCACTCCATCCCCTCCTCCCTTCGTCCCACCCTACCCAGTGATCCTGCCCGTCACCTAGAGCTAAAGGAGCGGCAAAAATCGGGCCGCCCACACCGACAAAGGAGTTTTACGCAGCAGGCTGGAAACTGCAGTTTGGTCATCCCCATGTTGGTGCTTTCAAGACATTTCGATGTTTACGCAGTGTGGGGTGGAAGATTTGAAACTGGAACATTCCATGTGGAATGTCTGACTGCCACGCCCACAGATCCCTGCAGACAGACACAAGGCCGCGCGCAAAGGAGGAACAATTTAAAGTCTGTTGAGGCTGCAGGCTCAGGTGTGCAGCTGGGCTTGCCTGGTCACATCTGCCAAGCCTGCTGTGGACAGGCTGCACCCCCTACCGGCACGGGCCTTGTGGCACACAGGCTCACGGCCACCGGCTCATGTCCGCTAGCTCCCGCCACGTGCCAGGCAGAGTGCTAGGCACTGGGTGCACAGGGGCAGACCAGAACTCGAGGCTGAATGCTGGAGAGCTGCTTCTCTCCAGGATGAATGGGAGGGGCCGTGCGGTGGGTGGAAGGCAGTGGGAAGAAGGCGGTGGTGAGAACGGCGCTGCACACAGGCAGGAGAAGCCACACTCGGGAGAGAGGGAACATGGCGCCCTCGGGAACAACTCCAGCCCCCGAATCGGCTCCTTCTCATCCAGCGGCTCTCACCTGTAGGCTGGGGTGATGGGGGAGGCTTTCTGGGCACAGCCCTCCTTTTCTTGTGCCTCTTCACCAGTTCTGGACTCTGTTTTTCCTCCAGCCTTTTGATGAGTTTGTTGAGGGTAGACGTCAGAGCCAACATTGCTCGGTCACGCTCCGACTCCTTCTTCAGCCCTTCAGGGTCCAGCTCCTTCTCTGTCTGGAATACCCGAAAGAGGGTGAGAGGGCCAGTGGGCCACGCTGTGTAGTAGATGCTAACATCTCTGTCCTATCCCTCCCTCCGATTCCCCTTCCCACCCCCACTGTGAGTTAAGTGAATGATCACCACTTTTTTGTTTTGGAAGGGTTTTTGCCCTAGGGTGTGAGCACTCGCCAGAGAGACAAAGAGCTAGAGAGAGACAGAAAGTGAGAAATCATCCCTTAGGGAGATGGCCACATGCCAATCCCTTCTTCTCCATTCTTCTCTTGGGATCCTGGGCACACATGTCCGGTGTGAGTTTCAAGCTGTCAGGTCAGGGCGCTGAACCATGGTCAACTACATGGGAGTCCAGCAACGTAACCATTATGCCATCTACTGGTCCCATGATCACCATTTCTGAGGGCCTGCCCTGTGCCTGACACAGGTAGGGGCTGCTGTGTTTTTGACCCCTCTGCCTGCTCGATCAGCAGGAGCAGACAGCCATGGAGGCCACAGGAGGAGGCCCGGCTCACCTCTTGGATGATGTTCTCCAGTTCCCGTTCCATGCCAGCCTTCACCTCCGAACGTAGCCGGTCTCGGTCTGACGGGAGCAGGATCCCTTCCAGTTCCTTCTCAAACTCTCCCAGTAACTGTCGTTCATCCTCGTCTTCGTCTTCATCCTCATCTTCATCATCCTCCTCTTCTTCAACCTCCACCTGATGTTCGGCCTCATCCTTTTCTTTCACCTCTGGTTCTCTTTGAGGGGCTTCTGCGCCATCATCTGCAGGCTGCTCTTGGCCTGTGTTTGGCTTCCCCTGGGTGGGTGGGATCGGGGAGAAAGGGGCAGACTGTTCGGGCTTCAGTGGAGACATGTGATGGGGGTAGATAGGCAGTTGCAGGAGTGTGGTAGCGGCGGGGGTAGGGGGGCTCAGGAGGACTGAAGGAAGGTAGTCAGCTCTGCTGGGCCCAACTCAGGCCTAGGTCAGTAGTTTGTTAAATGCTCCGGCTGGGAGGCAGGTTCCACCCCTCCCTTGAGCAAGGCTCTACCTTTTTGGTTCCACCTTTCAGCTCCTCGATCAATCGAATCAAGTGAATCAAGTCTGCAGGACTCCGGATGACTTTGACCTGCACGTTGTTCTGGAAATCTGAGATAAAAGAATAGGCATGGACCTATTGTGTTTTAAATTCTCTTTTGAATCCAAAAGAGAAAGGCCAAGGAAACACAGGTTCCTGGCTTCTAGGACTTCCGTGTTGGGTCAGTGAGAGGGCAAACCCAGCCCTACAGAGAGCACCATCTCGCCCTCGGGTAGACTCCCTCGGGAAGAGATGGATGTTAAGAAGCTGAGAAGTCCCCTGCTCCCACACTTGGGGGCCCCTTCTGGCAATCACTCCAGTTTTCAGGACTGCAGAGGACATTCCAGGGCCCCTTTCCACAAATACTAACCACCTATTTTCCACTCTGCTCCAGGCGACCGCCTATGAATGATCAATTCACTCTCATTTCTACTCGGAGCAAGCCTCAGGGAAGGGATTACCATCCACATTTTATGGGTAAGGACTGAGGGTAAGCGAAATCACCTGGGCTAACAACTCACCACTGTTCTGCCACCTCCCTAAAACAGCCCTGCTGTCTACAAAGAGTATTAGCCCCTCTAAGATGAACTCACTGCTGGCCTGGCTGCTCAACCTCCCTCCCAGTGTTCAGCTGTACCCTCCACACTGCCCCGGCCGACCCTGAAATACGTGCAGTGAAGGAAGTGGTGGGCTGACTCACCATCGGGAGAGCCTGGAGCTGGATCTGCTGCCTCAAGGTTTGGCTCCTGCTCCTGAGAAGAGAAAAGCGCAGAGGAAGTCAGGAAGCCTGTGTGTGCCCGCCGTCCTCGCAAGGCAGTGGATCTGGGGTACCTGGCATCCCTAGATAGATGTAGGTCACATCATAATGACTTCAGCTCAAGGGGCTCTCCCCATTACAGTCCAGCTGCCTCTGGGCAGTGGCTGGGGGGCTGCCCTCACCTCAGCCCGTGCCTCTTCCCCTCCTGGGGCCTGGTCCTCTGGCTCATGAAGCATCTTCCAGAAATCCGATTCTTTACTCTCATCTTTGGCTGGGCTTGCACCTGGGGTACAGAGAACAGGGGGGAATCTGAAGGCAGGGGAGACACAGAAGGGAGCAATAGGATGGGGTCAGTTCCCCTCTATCACTAAGGGTAGGGCCGCGGTGTCTTCCAGCCCATACCCCACAGTTGAGACAGGACGAGATTAGGGGAAGAGATGCAATGGAGACAAGGTGCGGGGACAGGGGAAACAAGGTCCTACCTGCCCTCTTTGGTGGCGCCACCCCAGACTTGGTCTCACCCCATGTTTGGGACTCCAGGTCTGGCAGCTCCTCCGTGACTTTGTCTCCATACTGCTGTGATCCTACTGAAAAACAGCATGTGTGCGGGACAGGGATGCATCCCTGGGAGCTGTTCACGCTCTCCCCCGCTGGCCCTGCCCTTCTTTCCTTCCTCCCCTTTCTCTTCCGGGTGCTCACCAGCTTGCCTCTCAATGTAAGCCCTGTACTCCTCGGGCTGCAAGGAGGGGTGACAGAGAATGGCCTGAGGAGCAGCGCTGGGTGGGGGCCGGAGCAGAGGGTGGGGGCACAGCCGGGGAGTCCGAATGGTCAGCACGTAAGAGCAGGACCAGGGCTCATCGACGCGATCGATGTAGTCCCCAGAAATACCAGCACCCTCATCACAGAGGAACTGCCAGGGCAGAACGGGGGGGATAAATGATAATTACCTTCAGGCCTTCGAGTGGCTGTCTTTTATTAAGCATTTATTATGTCCACATACTGTGTGTATGGAACTTTACATACATTAGCTCATTTAATGATCACAAAGTCCAGTAAGGAAGGTGTCAGTATCTCACCTTGTGACTCAAGAAACTGAAGTTTGATGCAGTTAAGGCACTGTTCAGGTGGCTAGCTGGCAAGTAGTAAAAACAAGAACTAAACTCAGGCAGCTTAACTGTAGGTAACCAGCCAACTTTTGTTTCACATTTTTGCTTTACATAAGCATATGTGTGTGTGCTTATAAATAAATATACATACGTGTTCAAAACTGTGCAATGGTTAAAAAAACAGCAAACAGTTTAAAGATATTCTTTTCTTAGAATTATTTATTTCATTCTATTTATTTGTTCCTTTATTTTCATTTGAGCAGAAAAAGACAAGACACACAGAGAGAAGGAAAGTGACAAAGTAAGGCACTAGGTCCAGGACTTGAACTGTGGTCGGCCATGTGGGAGTGACTAGCGCCTTAACCACCATGCCAACTGCTAGCCCCTAAAGTTCTTTTTTTTTTTAATTTAGAATCTAACTTTTTTCTTCTTTCAGTTTGCCAGAGGGTGTGTGCACTTTCCAGAGAAAGACAGAGAAAATTAAAAAACCAAAACAGAACAAAACATGTGGTCTCTGCGAATTTTCCTAAGGACATATAACACATGAAGAAAGATCTATTTAGGAGAATCTAGCAGGGGCTGGACAGTGGCACAACAGTAAAATGTGACCCTCCATAAAGCTGACCCACATGGAAGAGTGGCAGGCTCGTGTCAGAGCGCTTCCTGAGTATGCTGTGCACACATGTGCCCGTGATCCGCAGATGGCTGGGGGTGGGTAGATGATGGTGACAAGACCCTGTTGGGGGACCTGGTGCAAGCCACATGCCCTTGGACCTTCAAGCCACCAGCAGGTAATGTGAAGGTTAAGGTGGCTGGACCCTACATGGTCAGCTGCGTGATTCGAGTTCCAGACCTAGTGGCTTGAAAAACATGAAGAACATGTGTACCATGTCTGCCCAAAATCCTGAGAGGAGGAGAAGGAAGAGAAAGGATCATGGTGTGGCCATTCCCCCTGGATGGTGATTTCTCCTTTTCCCTCTGTCTGTCTGACCCTGGTAAGCTCATGCACCCTATAGCAAAACTTAAAAAGAAAATGAAACTTGTGAAAAAGACCTAAGTAGTCCTTGGAGAGAAATTTGTAAGAGTTATATTACAGGGGCCAGCAGGTGGCATGATGGTTAAGGTGCTGGACACTCCCACATGACCAACCCTGGTTTGAGTCCTGGACCTGGTGGCTTGCTTTCTCACTTACACTCTCGCTCTCTGGTCAAATTAAAATAAATGAATGAATAAGTAAAATTAATAATTCTAAAAAAAAAAGAATTATATCATGAAAGAGGAAAAGCTGAGGTCAGCTCATGATCTGGCAGTTAAAGCAATTGACCACACAGTTTAAGTTCCGGACCCAGCAGCTTAGGAAACTGCTGAGTGCAGGTAATGTGTGCCCAAAATCCTTACAGAAGAGAGAAATGGAGAATAGACTGCAGCATGACCATACCCCAAAGGGGATGCCTTCTCACTTTGTCCCTCTCCTTCTTTCTCTCTCTCTCTCTAGCAAGCAAACATGCCCTCTGGCAAATAAAAAAAAAAAAGGAAAATCTGAACATGAATGAGCTAGGCATTCATTTCAAGAAGTTGAATAAAGAACAGGGAACCAGCAGTTAGCGTAAAGGCTATGTCGCTGGACTCCCACATAGTCGACCGCGGTTTGCGTCCTGGACCCGGTAGCTTAAACTCATGCCGGGCGCGTGTGCGTGCGTGCCCAAGATCCCGAGAGGAGAATGGAGGAGAAGGGATTGCGGCGTGACCATCCCCCCTGGGGGGTGATTTCTTGCTTTCTGTCTCTATGTCTCTCTCTGTCTGTCTGGCGAGTGCATGCGCCCTATAGCGAAAATCTCTCAAAAAAAAAAAAAGAAGTTGAATAAAGAACAGAAAAATAAAATAAATTAAGAGGAAGGAAAATAAAGATTAGAGTGGAAATGAATAAAACACAAAAAAATATGATAAAGCTCAAAAGAACCAAAAGTTGGTTCTTTGAAAACCCCAATAAAATGACTGAATCTCTGATGAGCAATACAGTGTTGGCCCCATAGACTGGTGGTTAAGGAAGCTGGATCCCACATTGCCAACTGCAGTTCAAATCCTAGCCTCAGAAGCTTGAAAAACACACCAGCACATGTACATACATCCCCTAAATCCCAACAGGATGGAGAAATGGAGGAGAAGGGATTGCAGCCCCCCAGTGGGGGGCTCTTTCCCCCCTCTCCCTCTCTCTCTGTCTTTCTCTGGTGAGCGCACATGCCCTCTGGCAAATTTTTGAAAAAGAAATGAAAGAGACTGAAAATTAGTGAGGTAAGCATCCAACTCAAGAACTTACAAGAATAGTTGCACCTCAAGTCGTAGGCAAAAGGATAATCTCTCTAATGTATAAAGACCTCTTTGTGAATTGAGAAGAAAAAGATCAACAAGCCATTAGGAAAATGAGCAAAGAATTTGGGAAAGAAAAGAATAAAGCAAGGAAGACAAGGCTCTTTAAAAAAGTAAGATTAAATATCTTTTCTTAAGAGAAATGCAAATTAAAACCACACTAAGAAATTATACTTTCTCTGCCTAGCTGATGATTGGCCAACATCCAAAAGTTTAAAAACACAGTACGCCGAGTTGGCATGGCTATAGGGAAATCAGCATTCTCATACATTGCTGGAGGAAAGTAATTTACCACAGTAAAGTAGGGCAATTTGGCAGAACACATCAAAATCACAAGTCTACTTCCAGGAACTTAATCTACATATACTATGTACGTACAAGATTATTCACTGCAGTACTTTCATGTTAATAAAAGAACCACAACAACCTAAATGTCCACCAACATGGAACTATTAGATAAATGGCGATACAGCTATATAACAAAATAACACCCATATTAAAAGCAAGGAAGCCTTTTACATATTGATTTGGAAAGAGTTCAAACATATATTTTGTGCATTAAAAAAAAATTCTCTGAGTAGGGACAGCCCTGCAGCACAGTGGTTAAGTGCTATGCAAAGAAAGCCAGATTCCACGTGGTTGACTGTGGTTTGAATCCTGGCCCTGGAGGCTTGATAAACACTATGGGTTCATGTGCATGCATGACCCAAATCCTGATGGGATGGAAAAATGAGGAAAAAGGAGCGTGGGGTAGCCATGCCCCATTGGTGGGTGCTTTATTCCCTCTCTCTTTCTGTCAAGTACATGCACCCACTGGCAATTAAAATAAATAAAGGAATAAAGGATCAAGAGCAGCACTTAAAATTTTTTTAAAAATCTCTGAGTATAAAAAGAAACTAACAATGGTTACCATTCCTATGGGAGGAGAAAGGGCTGGCAAGGCTTGAACAAGGCATATTAAGACTTTTCTTTTTTTTTTTTTTAAAGAGAACTTTTTGCTACACGGCATGGTCGTTCACCGGAGAGAAAGAGAGAGACAGAGAGGCAGAAAGCGAGAAATCACCCCCCAGGGGGAATGGCCATGCCACAATCCCCTCTCCTCCATTCGTGGGGCATGCACACATATGTACCCAGCGTGAGTTTTAAGCTGCCAGGTAAGGGACTCAAACCACGGTTGACTACGTGGGATTCCAGCGACGTAACCATTACACCATCTGCCAATCCCTCTGGATACTTTTTAAGTTTTTCTATTGGGTCATTGGGAAAGTCATGACACATTTTTGCATAGAAAAACACAGAAAAATATGTCATGACTTTTTCGATGACCTAATATATTTGAATTATGTGATGTATCAAAAGCACCTATTCCAAAAAGTTTATATATTTCTTTTTTCCATGAGAGAGATACAGACAGACAGACAGAGAGGCAGAGAGGCAGGCACCTCCAACAGGATCCTTACACCACGATCCACCCCCAGTCTCAGCTGGCCAGATCACAGGCATGTATGCCTGGCATGCTCAGCACCCATCTATACAAACAAGGAAGCTTTGCACATGTTGATTTGAACACAGTAAAGGATGGCACTATGCAAGGCTGACCCACATGAGAGGGTTCTGGGTTTGCATCTGGAAGGCTCCCTGAGTATACCTGGCATGTGATGCCATGATCCCAGGCTGGCTGAAGCTGGGAGCTAGGAGCTAGGGTGGACTACAATGATGGGAACCTGTGCGTGTGTGTGTGTGTGTGTGTATGTGTGTGTGTGGGGTCCTTTCTATCTCTCTCTGTCTCTCTCATTCATGAAATAATTTTTTTAAAAAGAAACCAAAACGGTGCCTATTTGCTGATGATATAATTTATCTACATAGAAAATTCATGAGCATCTGCAAACTACTAGAAATTAAAGAGTTTAGCAAATTGTTCCATACAAGATCAATACCTAAAATCAATAGTGACCATACATGTGCAACACTTAGAAAATGTAATTTTTAAAAGATGCCATTTGGGACCAGCAGGTAGCATGGTGGTTAAGGCACTGGATTCTCACATGGTCAACAACTGTTCGAATCCTGGATCGAGAAGCTTGAAAATCACAACAGTCACATATACATGTATGCTCAAACTCCTAAGAGGAAAATGGAGAAGGGATTGCAGTGTGGCCATCTCCGCTGGGAGGTGATTTCTCACTTTCTCTCTCCAGTGAATATATACACCCTATGGCAAAAATCTAAAAATATTAACTCAAAATAGATTGAAGACTGAGGGCAGCAGGTGGCATGGCAGTTAAGATGCTTGATTTTTACATGGCCGACTGTGGTTCAAGTCCCAGACCTGGCAGCTTGCCTTCTCACTCCTACTCTCTCTCTGGTCAAATTGAAGAATAATAATAAATAATAAATTTAAATAAAAATAATTATTTAAAAAATGGACTGAAGACTACATTTATGAGCTAAAATTATAAAACTCTTACAAGAAAACATGTGAAAATCTTCATGATTGTGGATTAGGCAATGACTTCTTAAGTATGACACTAAATGTGCAGGCAATAAAAGAAAAAATAGAATAAATTAGATTTCACCAAAATTTAAAATTCTGTGCATCAAAAGACACTGCCAAGAGAATGAAAAGGCAACCAAAGAATGGAAGAAAATATTTACAAATCATATGTCTGACAAGGGATTAATTTCTGGAATATACTACATAAACTTTCACAACCCAATGACACAAAGACCCAAACTACTTAATTTTAAAATGGGCAAAGGATTTGAATAGACAATTCTCCAAAAAAGACATCCAGTGGCTAGCAGGTATATAGTGGTTGAGGTGCTGGACTCCCACATGGCTGGCTGCAGTTCAAGTCCTAGACCTGGTGACTTGAAACTCACACTGGGTGCGTGTGCATGTGTGCACAAAGTCCTGAGCAGAGAATGGAGGAAAAGGGATTGTGGAGTGGCCATACCATCCGGGGGCTGATTTTTCTCTCTCTGTCTCTCTCTGTGTCTCCAGCAAACACACACACCCTATAGCAAAAATCTCTCTCTCAAAAAAAAGGAATCTTGGGACCAGTAGTTAGCATAATGGCTATGTCGCTGGACTCCCATATAGTCGACTGTGGTTTGAGTCCCAGACCCGGAGGCTTAAACACGCCGGGAATGTGTGTGTGTGTGTGTGTGTGTGTGTGTGTGCGTGCCCAAGATGAGAATGGAGAGAAGGGATTGCGGCGTGGCCATTCCTCCCCCCCCTCCGGGGGGGTGATTTCTCACTTTCTGTCTCTCTGGCGAGTGCACGCGCCTTAGAGCAAAAACCTCTAAAAAAAAAAAAAAGGAATCTAAATAATGGTCAATATGCACATGAAAAGATGTCTCACTTCATTAGCCACTAGGGAGTGCAAACCAAAACCACAGTAAGACACCATTTCACACTCATTAGGATGACATTATTATAGTTTCTTGAATTATTTATTTATAATTATTATTTTGTTTTAAATTTGCTACAGGGCACATATATTCACCAGAGAGAAAGACAGACAGAGACAGAGAGAGAAAGCCACCAGGTATGGTATTCAAACTGTGATCAGCCATGTGGAAGTTCAGCACCCTAACCATCATGCCACCTGCTGGCCCCAGGTTGGCATTATTTTTGAGCAAGGAAAGTAAGCGCTGCAGAAGGTGTGAAGAAACTAAAACTCTGCATTGCTAGTAGGAATGTAAAATGCCACAGCTGCTGTGGAAAGAGCTGGTATTTCTTCAAAAACCCAGGGCTAGAATTACCATAAGGCAGATTCCATTCTTAGGTATAGACCAAAAGACTAGGTCAGCATTGTATCCTCTTTGGCCCCTTCTTGACAAAACTCCCTTCTGCTCATGCTCTCAATGACAGTCTCCTCAAAGCTCTGTCCCATTTTTCTCACCACACACTGTATCTTTGAGGGATTTTGTCTACACCCATGGCTTTGGTCGAAACTCACGTGATGAATCCCAATCTCTAGGATCAATTCAGATCTCTTGATCTGAAAAGCTCTGGTCTTGAGCTCTAGACCCACAGATCCACAGCTTCCATGAAATCTCTACTCGGATGCCTGACAGCCACTAATTTTACATCCAAAATCAAACTCAACTTCTCTTCACCAAACCTACTCCTCAGTAATAGGGATCACTATCTAGCCACTTGCTCAAGCCAGAGACCCAGAAATCATGCCTGACTCCTACCTCTTACTCTCTCTTTGAAAATGCACATTTTTCATCTCAAGCTATCTTTATTTCTCACCTGGATTACTTCCACCACCTCTTACCTGCTCTCTTATTTTCTGCACTCCGGTCAGAGGATGGAATATGTCATCTTTCTGCTCAAAACACTTCACTGACTCCTATCACTTCTTGGATTGTCCAAATTCCTCAATATTGCTACAGAGCCATTTGTGACTTGGGATCTGTGACCTGTCTCCTAACAGCCTAGCCTCATCTCCCATATTCCCCTTCCCGCGATAATCTCCTCTGTTCACTGCGAATATTCGTCAATTCCTGGGACAGGCCACTGCCTTTTGCCTCCAGGTTTCTTGCACTTCCTGTAGCCTCCATCTTCCACCTGGCATGTCTCCTTCCTCTCTCTTGCCCCTCTCTATCTGCTGCGCTAACTTCTCACCTTCCAATTACCAGTCCAAAGGCCACTTTTCATGAAGGCCCCCCTCGGTTAGTTCTATTATTGTGTGCACCCCAACATGCTCTTCACCTGTTGTAGGACTTCTGCTGCTTCTGTGGTTGTCTATTTGACATCTGCCTCCTGAGAGTGGGACTAGGTCTTCAGTCCAAACTGTATCCCTAGTGCTTGGCCCAGGGCATATGTTCGATAGATATGAGGAAATACAGTCTTTGCCCTCAGTTCTTGGCCTACTAAAGGTACAAACATCTAAGGAAATCATTGGAATACAATGAAGTACACGCTATAACAAACTGTATATGTATGAGGATGCTTTGGGCATATGTGGATGTATGTACAGAAAGTGCTGAAGGAACACACCTAATTTACTTTATGGGTTGTCAAGGAAAGTCACATGAATCAGTGACATTCGAATTGACTTCTTGTTTGTTCCATTCATTCCTTGAATAATTTTGGGTGCTTATATGGTGCCAGGCACCATTTCAGGTACTGAGGACACAGCAGAAGATAAGACATTGTCCCTGCCTTCCAGGAGCTTATTTTAGTGGGGTTAGACAAAGACAGACATTAAAATTAAATAAGATAATTTCAGGTAATAATACGTGCTTGGAAGAATACAAAACCCTAGATGTTAACCAGGATGGGAGCCGGGAGGTGGGGTGTTGTATGGGAAGTTGGGACCCCTGAGGAGGTATCACTTGAATATAACGCAGTGAGGGAATGGAGCCAGCCATTCAAAGATCTCCAGGCAGAGGGAAGGAACAGCAGGAGGGCTGGTGTGGCGGAAACACAATGAGAATTTAGATCTCCATCCTAGACTTCTTCCCTGGACTCCAGAATGACAGAGCCAACTGCCAAATGGACATCACTACTAGGATGTCCAATGGGTATCTTGATCTTCACATGTCCAAAAACAGCCTAATTTCCTCCCTCAAACCTGCTTCTTCACACTTGAGTAAACGACAATTCTCCTGTTCCAGCTGCTCAAGCTAAAAACCTTGGAGTCATCCTCAACTCATCCCACATCCAATTCATCAACAAACATGATCAGACTGTTTCCCACTCTCCCATTGTCACCCCCCTGGTCTGTGAAGAGATGCTTGGATCTTATCCTCTGTACAAGGCTTTCTAGGACTGGGCAGAGAAGTGACTCAGGCTTACAGTGGAATGCTGGAGCCAGCTCACACCAGCTCACAAGAGCCAAGTGATAAACTTTGGGGAATGTTGCAAGATGGTGAACATCACATCTACAGCCTGCGATGGGCACAGTGGAGTGTTTACATCATAGACATGGGCAAACATGACAAATCAGAGCTTCTTCCCCACCTAGTGTTCAACATGTACCAGCACATGACTGCATATGCAAATCTGTACTCTGGAAAGATAACACTGCTAGGTGGCATATAGTTCTCTACGGGTATGTATATTTGTGAATGCATTAGAATCCCCAGGGAGCTGTTTCTTCTGTGTATCTCCCTGCCTCATTGCCTGCTTCAACTCAGCTGAGGGCCACCAGAGAAGAAGTACTTGTTAAGACACTGTCAGCCGTGATGCAAGTGAGAGGTGAAAGAAAGAAAGGAATTTTGAGAGACACATATTAGGTCATCAGGAAAGTCATGCAGTATTTTTATGTTTTCCTATGGAGAAATGCGTCATGACTTTCCCGATAACCCAACAGAGACAGAATACATGGGCCTTGTTATTTCTTTTGAGAGAACTAGATTCCTTTCCTTGAAATGAGTCCATGACTCATTTATGTGATTCTTTTGTTAGTATCTGTCTTTCCCTCTCAACTTCCCCTCATGCCATGAGGGTAAGGGCTACGTGTTTGCTTGTCACCGCATCCCCAGGGCCAAGCCCAAGGTCTCAGTGCCTATGTATATAGAAAGACCTCACTGGAAAGTCATTAAATGATGAGAAAATGGACAAATGAAGGAGAAGGAAGAGTCAAGGATCACACTCAGGTTTATAGCTTAGGTGAAAAGAGAAATCTAGGATAAAAAGATCAAGTGTGGTTTAGGCGCCCAGAGGGGAGGATCTAGGAACAGTTGACCTGAAGTGCCTCTGAATATCCAGGCAGGGATATCCAGCTGGCAGCTGCAAATATGAGATTTCACCTTTGAGTTCAGCATTTGAGAGAGACCCTCCTAACTACAAGATGCAAGCCTAGCCTCTTCCCTTAGAATGCAAATTATCACTGAAGGAGTGTTGTTCCTTCTCTCAAGACTCACCCGAACCTCAGCCTCCCGGGGCCTTCCGTTGAGGTCACACTTGGACCCATTGCCATAGGTCTGGCTATGGTAGCGTTTCAGGCGATGCTGCTTGGAGGCCTGGAGAAGACATGAGGCAGGAGGGAGGGGTGTGAGAATGACAACAAGGAGGAAGAGTAGCCCTGCGCTCCCAGAGACCTTGAGATCTTGGAAATCCAGGTTCAGGGGGACTTTGTCCAATTGGCCAGCAATTCCCAAGAAACACATCAGCTAATCTTGACCCTCCCCCTCTCATCAGAGCTCTCAGTCTGCAGCAGGACCACTTTCCCTCCCAAGTCCATACTCTCGCCACCTTGGCTGTTTCGTCATCCCAGTTGAAGGCTGATTGGTAGTAGCCGAGATAGAGGACTTCGCCTTTGATCTCTGAGTCTGCAAAAGAAGCCACAGTGAAGCACTGTTACTGCCTTCTAAGAGGACTAGGAGGGAAGGAGCCTGGGAAGGCAGGTCACCTCCCATGATACAATATTGCGGGCTTGGGGAAACGTGGGAGTGAGTCACCTTCCATGTGGTACTGCTGGATGTGGCGTCCATAGCAGAATTCATACGTCCACCAGTCTTTGGTCTGACAATTAAAAAATGAACAATCAGGGGGATAAAGTACAGATATCTCCTCTTGGAACCAGAGTCTCCAAAATACAAAACCTTGAATCTTCTTGTCATCTCTCTCCAATTCCACGCTTAATTCTCCAGACTCTCAGTGAGGAGGAGAGCTCTTTGTTTTCCGTTACTCAGAGTGATACTTCTAAAGTCTGTTTTTCCACCTATGGTCTTTCCATTCCTCCTATTTACTTATTTATTTTTTAAAGTTTTTGCAATTGGGTATGTGCACTCACCAGAAATAGAGGAAAACTGAGAAATCACCCCCCCCCATGGGGATGGCCATACTGCAATCCCTTCTCCTCTTGGGATTTTGGGCACACACACACCTGCACCCAGAGTGAGTTTCAAGCTGCTGGGGCTGGGACTCGAACCACGGTCAGCCATATGTGAGTCCGGCACCTTAACCTCCATGCCACCAATTGGCCCCCATTCCTCCCATTTTATAAGGAATCATGGTATCCATGAAGCATCTACCCAGGGAGAGACAGAAGACCCTCCCAAATCAAATATTAATTAAACTTCTATAACATTCCCTGGACTGTTCTAGCTGTGAGCAAGATAAATTCTCTGACCTCATGGAGCTTACATTCTAGGGTTGGGATTCCCACCAAAAATAAACAAATTGACTCAGTTAATAAGATGATGTGAGATCATGAAAAGTGCCAAAATAAAATACAAGCACAAAAAGATGGGGCAGGGGGTGACTTCACCAGGCACACTTTTCTAAGTAAGTGCCCCTCTTACCCCACACTGACTTAGGTAGGTCCATCTTGGCTTAACGCTATGTTGAAATCTATTCTAACAATCCCCTAAATTCACCAAAGTGGCACCAGTGGTTGCAACAGTCTTTGCTTCTTTTCTGTCTGTGTAATACATCTCCTCCTCTAAGGGCTTTTTTTTTTTGGAGAGGTTTTTGCTATAGGGCGCGTGCGCTCGCCAGACAGACAGAGAAAGACATAGAGACAGAAAGTGAGAAATCACCCCCCAGGGGGGATGGCCACGCAGCAATCCCTTCTCCATTCTCCTCTTGGGATCTTGGGCACACATGCACACGTGCCCGGCATGAGTTTAAGCCACCGGGTCCGAACTCGAACTGCAGTCGACTACATGGGATTCCAGCGACATAACCATTATGCCAACTGCTGGTCCTAAGGGCCTTCTTAACTCCTACAGGTGCCCTGGATCCTCTCATTCATGTGCACTCCAGTTCTCAGAAGGACTCCTAGTCCCCATGCCCTCATTCCATTCATCCCAGTTCCTCTCACCTTCAGCAGGCAGGGAGCATCTCTCATTGGGCTCAACAACTCAGGAATCCCAGGCCCTTGATAAGCCGGTGTCTCCTCCTCTCTTTCACGCTGGAAGTGAATAGCTCCAGCGGGCAGGCGGCACTCATACCGCTGTTTGTACTTAGAAGAGACAATCACCACGTCGGAAGCTTGGCTCTGGGGAAAAAGAGAGAGTAGGGGAATCAGGGAGGCGAAGAGAGGCTGGGATCAGGGAGAACAACGAGATCCCTCTTCAGACCCTGGGGAAGAGCCCAGTCGAGGACAGAATGAGCAAGTCTTCCAGCTGTGTGTAACGGTGAGGGGAGAGGGCATTCCCACTTCCCTACGGGGGCGGAGTCTGGGTGTTTTGATCCGGAACTGGGACCTCAAGGCTGACAGCCAGAAGCCCCACCCCTTCCCACCTCTCCCGGCCCCTGGCCCCCAGGGAATGGGTCTCAGTCTCTGATCCCGAGTCACTGGAAAAGTCCGACCTACTCTTTCCGACAGGCTCCCGGTCCAGCCTCTACC